CACTACCAGATGAAATGATTTCATCTTCTATCTTAGGTCTCTTTAAGCTAGAGGACAAAATATCAGAGGGTCACTTTTAAGCTCAGAAGACGTATACCTACACAAATGAAAAAGGAAAGGATATTGTCAAGTACAAAGGTGCTGCGAAAGAGAAAATAACAGCGGAATGGTTTAAGTCACAGTACGCTAACCCTTCTCGTAAGCAAGAGGTAGAGGTGGAAGCCTACTTCCGGATTGACTGGCCCACACTTAACATAAAAAAGATAGATCAATCAATCCTGGTTGGGATTAATCTTGGGTTAAAGAGGATCCCAGTGTGGGAAAAAGATACTAATACTAATTCGTCTTCTAAGAAGTGGGTTGATACAGAACCAAATTCAGTCTATGACATGTCTAGACTAGATCATATGACATTACTTCTTAGCAGAAATTATTAATAAGTAAAACAAAGCAGAAATGATAAGTAAAACAAAGCAGAAATTATTAATAAGGCAAAACATCAAATGTAAAATGTTCATTCAATTGTTACCTTCAATATTCATCTCATTTTCATCTTCTGTAGTAAAAGTTCCCTTTGGGTTACTTCTTAGCTTGGCAACAAGCTTTTTTGTTAATGGCATTTTCCTATTTTCTTTTTTCCCATGTCTGAAGAAATAAAAAATAAATAAAACATAAGAACAAAAACTAGTTACTATTGTTTCTAATGAAAAATTTTCGTATATTCTACATACAAGTCAACAATGGTCATAACATGAATATGAAAACTAGGGTTTGAACTTGGAATAATACAATCGGTGGAAACTAGTTTTACTTACCAACATAAATTTAGCCTTCAAATCGATGAACAAAAGTTTGCTATGGGTTGAATATGTAAAACTTTGAACTAGTTTCATAATATGAATATGAAACTAGGGTTTGAACAGAACATCAAGAAGAAGAAATAATACAATTCATCAAAAAAGAAAAATCTAATCTTAGTTAATTACCCACATAAATTTAGCATCCAATCGGTGAGCAAAATTCGCTATGGGTAAACCTTCAATGGCGAATCACTTCTCGATAATCACAGTTTGCCTCTGAAGTTTGAAGACGCTTCCGATTTGTAAAGACATTAAGATTGAAAATCACAGTGGTTATACTAAAATCACAAAAAAGAAAAGACGAAGAAGAAGAACAAAAAGAAAACCTAAGTTTTGTTACTTACCAACATAAATTTAGCCTTCAAATCGATGAATAAAAGTTTGCTATGGGTAAGCCTTCAATGGAGAATCAGTTCGCGCCTGGAGGTGTTTTCGTGAATGAAGATTCAAAACTTCTAACATATACGAACTTTCAATCTTCATAAAACGCCACCATATTCATCAATAATTACAAAACTGCCATTGGACGCCTTCAGACCATTGATCAACTTGTTGATCAAATCTAACAGATATAAGTTGGTCTCGCGGGTCTTACGGAAAAGACTTGGTCTCACATGATCCCAAGTATATATATATATATATATATATATATATATATATATATATATATATTTACTTGCTTACCCAATGGATCCACACACACATGCATCTCTAAGAGTTATACATGTTAAAAATAGAGATTTTAAAGAGACAGAAAGAAAGTAGAAATCTTCCTAGACAAATCTTTAAAGCTCCATATTTAAGAGAGAGGAATTATATTTAATTCTTTCTCATCAATAAGAGACGTGAAAACTAAGGAGGCGTTTGGTTCGTAGAATAGAATTCGATGGAATTGGAATTAATCAAATGAATTTGACTTTGAGAGAATGAAATGGAATATGATGAAATTTGACCATGTCTTGTGATTGCGTTTGGTTGCATGGAATTGGAATGAAATTCTTAACGGAATTGGATTGGTAAGGAATCTATAGGAAATGAATTGAAATCCTAGCATATTGCCATGAAATTGTAAAATCTGTGCGTGAAGGAATCGACTGGAATTGAAAGGATTCCAACTTCTAATATTTTGTTTAAAAAAGATTATATAATAACATAACCGTTAAAAATATTCAAATACTAATTAGGCAAAACAAGGAGAAAGATATATACTGTTTCAAGCCAGATAGTGTCAAGGGTAGGCTTTCTGCTCCTGGCACACTCTGGATCTTCCCATTTGAGTCTTTCTGGAAGAGTGTTACAGGCTACCAGGATTAATCCCCGTAAAATTTGACCGTAAGAAATTAGTTTTGATAAACTCAGTGACCGCAATTATTGTTTATGTCTGGAATCGAACCTTGAACATATGAGATATTCCACCATATCCCCCAGGACCTGATCAACCAGTTAAGTTTATATAGTCCAATGAGTTCCCATTTATACTCGGGCAAAGGTAAATCACATGTTAAGTAATTGGGTGGTGTTTTAGGAAAAACTTAGGAGGCGTTTGATTTGATAGAATGATTATGAGGGATTAGATTTTTGTGGGGATTCAAATCTGTAAAGATTTTGCATCTTTGTATATTTGGTTTGTAATATTTGGAACGGAATTGAATTTTTATTTTTTAATATATAATTTATATGAAAAATTATAAATAATCATAAAAATAACGAAATTATCTTTTTATTAATCGATTACTATAAAATAAATATTTTCAAAATATATTATTACACATAAATCCTACGAAATATACCAACAACCTTCCACGGGATTTCTAAATCCCATGTTCGTGGGGTTTCGGGATTTCAAATCCGAGTGATCATTCATACCAAACATATAAACTTGGAATGAAATTGAATTCGAAATCCTATCTAAGCCTACAAACAAAACAAGTGCTTAGTTCTGCATGATTCGCTAATTAGAATTCTATTCAACACAAAACAATTTATTTTTCTAAATGGAATCGATTTTCTAAACAAGACAGAAGACTATTACGTTTTAGACGTAAAACATTCCACTGTTTCGAAGGATCTTTACATATCTTCGGTTGATTTTGTGGAATTTTTGAAAATTTCTAGTTGTTTTACAGGGACTTCTTAGGTTGATTTGGAGGGATTTTTTCGTTAATGTCCTTTATATTTTATAATATCTCATAGCACTCCTAAAGTTTAACATATATAACCACAAGAGTTGTGGCGTAATGTTTGAGATCATGGGGATGTAGTGGAATGTTCCATCTGTCCAACGTTCGATTCCATGCGTACACAACAATTGTGGCCATAAAGTTTATCAGAGCTGATTTCTTACAGTTAGAATTTGCCAGGATTAATACATACATTTTTCTAAAAAAATGTCTAACATATACATCTTTCATATCTCAAAAAAAAAAAAATTAATGAAAACCAGTTGAGCATATGCATAGGTAGGAGTGCTAAAAAACCCGACCAACTCAACCAACCCAACACGAAAGAACTCAACCCGAAACAACCTGATGTCTAATCGAGTTGTAAAATTTTCAAACCGTAGGTATTGAGTTGATATTTGGTTATTATTATTTGAACTCAATCCAACCCGAAAAACCCGATATTCTTTTATTTCTTCAATTTAATATGATTGTTGAAAGTGTATTGATATATGTATATGAAGAACGTATGTGATAGTGTAATTTATATATATATATATATATATATATATATATATATATATATATATACCATCGCATACGCTCTTTATATACACATATTTTGAATTTATTCACATCTCTATATAACTCATTCGTATATATGTTCAGTAACTGTAAACATATTTATGTAAATTGAGAAAATTAACTGACTTTGATATACATAAGAAGTAAGGATAATTAAGTTGTATCAAATGGTTAATGATACAAAAAATTATAAGTAGAGAAATAACATATTCAAGGTTAAAAGAATATTTTAATGTAACAAAATATCAAACCGACCAACACATACGGCTTGGATTGGATTAAGATTTTTCAAACCGCAAACACCAAATTGAGTTGTTGAAATCTATTCAACTCAGTCCAGGTAAACCATGAACACCTCTATACAATACATAAGAACCAATGGCCGGCGCATGCAGACAAATCTTTAATAATAGATGGAAGTAGTTGGTGACGTCATGCTAATTACTAATTATAGTTTAAGTGAATTAATTAATTATAAACTGTTGGCATCATATAGCAGCAGCTACAGTGATACCATGTACTCTTTCTGAGCATCTTTCCCCAACTCCTATTCGTCGTCTTCCCTTCAAAATCATTATAAATACAGTTTTTTGCATACGTATATTTTTACAGTCATATGCTGATCAACAACAAAATGCCAAAAACGACTCAATCAGGTTAAAGAACAAGAAATTAACCCTTTAATTAATCCGTTCATCGTATGATGAAAACGACGATCTTCTCTCCATCCACCACCTTCCACCTCCGATCCTCTCGGGCTGCGGCCGCCCTTTCTCATCTTCCTCTCTCCTCAGGTATCTATCTCTTTCTCCTATATTCCCTTTTGTATATATCTCTATGTCTGTTACAATGTGTATATATATATACATACATCCGATCCAATCTAATTATAATTGGATATCCGGTTATAGTTTGAGGGTTGGGTTCCGGTAAGAAAGAGGGTTAAGGTGAGAAGTGTAAAAATGAATCCACTATCCTTGGAAGCACATTAAGATGAGATGTATCGAGATGCATTTGATCAATCCCCGCATTAAACGCGGTTCATGGGTATGTTTGAGATTAAAGTTGATCAACGGTTCAGATCCTTTCTTACGCTTATTACATTAACTCTTTTTCTCACACGATCTTTCCTGTTATGATCGATCGATTTAATTAAATTGAATCAGATGAATTTACAAAGTTACTGATGAACAAGTTGTATATTTTAGTGATGAAATTTGATTACATAATTCTAATCATGTGTTCCTCTGTAAAAAAACCTCATTTTTTTTATTTTATATAATATAAAAATCTATAAATAAAATTAATTAAATTTTCTATTGGTTTCAGGTGGTGTTGTTCTTAAATGCCCCAATTTTCATTGCAAAGCTGTCTCAAAGTTTCCAACACAAGGTATCTTCATATTTCTTTATTACTTCAAACTCTATATATTCCTTTAAATAGAAAAAATGGGATTTTTGGTTGCTTTTTCTTACCTTAAGGTATGTTGATATTTGTTTATTAGAACCATATTCATACAAATATATTAAGATAATGTTTCGTTTTATTTATTGTTTCTGTTGATATAATATGGTTTTATGTGATTAACTGTTAATGGTTATGAGTTGGTGTAGAGCACCTTGATGTACGTCAACAAAATGGTTTGCTATCTATCAACTCGCAGAATGACATCATGGAGGATGAACTCGACACAGATGAGGTGTTACTTTTGTACTTCAATTTTTTTAAGGGAAAACCATTAAAAAAACGAAAAACTAGGGAACACATTGATAATCGTTCATCTGGGGGTATAGATATACACATACAAGTAATTTGTCTGATATGCACATTTGCATAACATGCAAACGTGCATAAAAACCAAAAAACAACTTCAATTACTTATAAGCACATGTGCATACCGTCTAGATGAATGGTTATCAGAAAATTTTTGGGTTCACACACACACATGGGCTTAATCAAATGAGAACTGGTTTGTTTGTGGTAATCGTGAGATCCAATCTCAATCATCAATCAAAGGTTAAATTTGAAAATTAATAATTTTAGTAATTTTAACTTAAAATATTAATTAAGGGCATATTAGGGATTTCTTAAATATCCTTTCTCATCTCTCTTTTTTCCTCTCTCCGGTGAACCTTAACATAAGATACACACTGTGATACCTACAAACGATATTTGTTGTGATACCTAGATATACGTACAAGATGCACAATGTGATACTCTTTGTAAAACAATGAAAATAACGAAAATACACACTATGATACATTTCCTAAAACAAAGAAAATACATTGTGATGCACGTAAAACATTGTGAACGTTATCACTATGATACACTTTAATTCATAAACGTCTTTAAAATACGATGTATATATATTAGGTATATTGGCAACAAATTTTAATTAAATATTTTTCTTCTAAAAGATTTATTTTTGATTAGTTATCAAAAATAGAATTACTATATTACCCTTTTAGATTATTTAAGAAATATACTTAAATATCTCAAACGAGTGGTTCACATTGGATGTTACGGTTACCACAAACTAATCAGTTCTCTCTTGAACGCACCTATATATATATATATATATATATATATATGTGTGTGTCATCTGTATCAAAAAGATTTTGTACTAACATTGATCATTCTCGTGGTTGTCTATACGATTAATCGGACATCTGAAGATTTTGTGTTTGAGCGAGGAGGTCAAGGGGTTTGCTGAGAGAATCAAAGGGATATTGAATGCAATTGATGATGGAGAGATAAATGCGGTGGCTTACGATACAGCTTGGGTTGCACTCGTCCAAGATGTTAATGGAAGTGGTCGCCCTCAGTTCCCGTCAAGTTTGGAGTGGATTGTAAACAACCAACTCTCTGACGGATCCTGGGGCGACCGTTTTATCTTTTTGGCTCATGATCGCATCATTAATACATTAGCATGTGTGATCGCGCTAACTTTTTGGAACTTTCATCCCGCAAAATGCCAAAAAGGTAATCGTTTCTTTATCGTTAACGCTAGTCTAAAGTGATTTGTGACGGAATATTTGTCACTAATATCGGTCTTGATTTATACAGGAGTGGAATTTCTGAAAGAGAACATAAGCAAACTTGAAACTGAGAACGAAGAACATATGACGTGCGGTTTTGAAGTTGTGTTTCCTTCACTTATCGACATTGCAAAGAAGCTCAACATCGAAGTCTCAGAAGATTCTCAGGTCTTGAAAGAAATCTACGCAAGACGGAACCTGAAGCTCGCAAAGTCAGTACTTAATTTATAGTTTACATGTACACCATTGTTTTTTCTGAAACTAACACTGAAAATGACCGTATTCGATGTGTTTTTGTGACGAAAAGGATACCGAAGAACATAATGCACAAAGTTCCGACATCTTTACTTTTTAGCTTGGAAGGAATACCAGATTTGGAGTGGGAAAAACTTGTAAAACTTCAGTGCAAAGATGGGTCATTCCTCTTATCGCCATCATCCACTGCTTTTGCATTCATGCAAACTAATGATGAGAATTGTCTTCAATATCTCACAAATGTTGTTACCAAATTCAATGGTGGAGGTGTGTTTTCATGTTGGTTTTTTGGGRCATTTTTGTTGTTCWATTATARATGTTATCTTATCTTCTTCWTGTTCATGATCATGATGTAGTTCCGRATTTCTACCCGSTGGATCTTTWTGAACGTATTTGGGTCGTTGATCGCCTCCAACGTCTTGGGATTTCTCGYTATTTCAAGTCAGAGATCGAGGGTTGTGTTGAATACGTCTACAAGTATGCAAATCTATTAAAAAACCATCCRTTTGTCTACAAAATCTRTTGTTTTTACGTCTCAAGAAAGCCTAGAAATTGAAATGATTGAACGAAAWTTCAGGTRTTGGACTAAGGATGGGATCAGTTGGTCGAARAACTCGAATGTACAAGATATTGATGACACTTCGATGGGATTTAGGATTTTGCGAATGCATGGTTACGATATTTCTGCAGGTTACTTCAATTCTTATACATGAACATATGCTCGAAAATTCAATAGGTTTTGACGATGTTTTTAGTGACAAATTCAAGATTAATGAGGTTTTTGTGACAGATGTGTTTCGACAATTTGAAAAAGATGGCAAATTTGTGTGTTTTGTCGGGGAAACAACAGACTCCGTCACCGTAACGTTCAATTTATTACGCGCGTCGCAAGTGCTCTTTCCCGGAGAGAAAATCCTTGACGAAGCCATGAAGTTTTCTTATAAATATTTGAAGGAGAAACAATCATCGAACGAGCTCCTTGATAAATGGATCGTCGCCAAGGACTTGCCTGGTGAGGTACATACGCAAATTAAAAAAAATTCGCGGCCATAACTGTTGCAATAACTATTTTGCGACACATAAAACTTATGATGACGACATATTTGAACCCAAAATCAACAGGTGGGATACGCGCTAGACATACCATGGTATGTGAGTTTGCCTCGACTCGAGACAAGATGCTACTTGGAGCAATACGGAGGCGAAGACGAAGCGTGGATCTCAAAAGCCGTATACCGGTACTACTACATGAACATAACATATATAAAAATTTAGAGAAACTGAAACGTTACCAACACCTTTTGATTTAGACGATGGCCGCCTACCATCGCGAGACTAACTTCTACGATGACAATGATTGAAAAACGAAGCGGGAAACTCTCAAATGTTAGTCGACGATACAGTAACTGTCTTTATAGAACATGAATTTAAACAGAAATAGTAAAACATATTAATAACTCAGAGTCAAGACCATATAATAGATTGTAATGCATCTGTGTACACATATACATATATGATCATATTCAACCTGCAGGCTGGGAAATATTAGCAATAACACATACCTCGAAATGGCTAAATTGGATTACAACCACTGTATGGTCAGGCATCAGCTCGAGTGGAACAGTATGCAGCAGTAAGTTCGCAATTTTCTTTAAATAATTCCAAACATTTATGTGATTTAAATGAATAAAATCTGATAAAAACAGATGGTATGTGGATTTCAATATCGAACGGTTTGGGATGAGCAATATCACAAGTCTTTTGGTCGCATACTACCTGGCTGCAGCCAGCGTATTCGAGCCAGAAAGGTCCAACGAGCGAATCGC